CTGCTTTTCAAGCATTAATAGAATTTACTTTTTAAAATAAGGAATCCTTACCTCAATTTATAGTTGACAAAATTGAGGCTCAGATGAGTTAAGAAATTTTTGCACACTTACACAATAGTCATGTAAGAGCTGTGTTTTGGATTTAGGAATGATTCTAGATCCCCAATCATTATGTATTTAGATGGTAGTTGTTAAACCGCCCTGAAATAACTATTTTGCTTTACTAAAGCCACATACTACTATGGATAGCAATCCTATCTATGAGTTAGGGGCATTTCTAGTAGGCATATGGCCCTTTCATTGTATCTTTTTCATGTGCAGATCTTATTTACTAAATTAATATTGTGCTCTTTATATTTATCAGGATTACAAAGTTTGATATCTTTCTGAGAGCTGACCTCTCACCATCTGTCCTTTTCTTGGTTAGGGACATAACCTGCTATTCTCAGAATGAAAGAAAGAGGGAGGATAAGTATGCCAATAGGAACATTTTGAACTGCTGAAAAATGCTTGATATCAAATTAAATACTGTTCACATGGCAGAAGAGGTAGGCTGTTACAAGCTTTTCATACTTCTATTTTGCTATCAATTATTTTTTTTTATTTTTTTTTGAGACAGTCTTGCTTTGTTGCTCGGGCTAGAGTGAGTGCCATGGCGTCAGCCTAGCTCACAGCAACCTCATATTCCTGGGCTCAAGCAATCCTTTTGCCTCAGCCTCCCGAGTAGCTGGGACTACAGGCATGCACCACCATGCCTGGCTAATTTTTTCTCTCTATATATTAGTTGGCCAGTTAATTTCTTTCTATTTATAGTAGAGACGGGGTCTCGCTCTTGCTCAGGCTGGTTTTGAACTCCTGACCTCGAGCAATCCGCCCGCCTCAGCCTCCCAGAGTGCTAGGATTACAGGCGTGAGCCACCGCGCCCGGCAGTGATTTTTATTATTAAAATGAGAATTCAGTACACTAGTTTTCCCCATATCCCACAGTCTGTTTATCATTGTTCTGTTGAACCTGTAACATTGTTTTCTTATTTGACAAGTTTATGTTAATGAAATGTTAGGCGATTGCTATAAATACTGTTTTCAAATACCCATACATGAAATTTGTGATTTAAAAAGATTATTCACTGGCCAGGCATGGTGGCTTACGCCTGTAATCCTAGCACTCTAGGTGGCCTAGCCGGGAGGATCACTCAAGGTCTGGAGTTTGAAACCAGCCTGAGCAAGAGCGAGATCCCGTCTCTACTAAAAATAGAAAGAAATTAATTGGCCAACTAAAAATATATAGAAAAATTCGCCAGGCATGGTGGCACACGCTTGTAGTCCCAGCTACTTGGGAGGCTGAGGCAGTAGGATTGCTTGAGCCCAGGAGTTTGAGGTTGCTGTGAGCTAAGTTGATGCCACAGCACTCTAGCCCGGGCAACAGAGTGAGACTCTGTCTCAAAAAAACAGAAAACGTGGGCTCTGCTACAACTCAGCATGCAAAATTTTTTTCAAATTATTTTAATCAACATGGATTAGTAGTCATTTGGATTTTAAACAGGACAAAATTTAAAAGAAACTGGCTGGCATAGTGGCTCACGCCTGTGATCCCAGCACTTTGGGAGGTTTACTAGAGGCCGGGAGTTTAAGACCAGCCTGAGGAACATAGCAAGACCCCATCTCTACAAAAAATAGAAAAATTAACCGGGTGCGGTGGTACACGCCTGTAGTGCTAGCTACTCAGGCGGCTGAGACAGTAGGATCACTTGAGCCCAGGAGTTTGAGGGTGTAGTGAGCTCTGATGATGCCACTGCACTCTAGCCCAGCCAACAGAGCAAGACCTCATCTCAAAAAAGAAAGAAACTGAAAACAACCACAAACCATGACTATGTATTTTATTTTTCTATTATCTACAGGATCTCTCTGAAAAATAATTGTAATACTCAGTAGGTATTTGTTTCTGCTTTTAGGTAGCTGTGTGACTTCAGGCAAGGTAGATGAGCTTTTGTCCTCAGTTACCTTGTATATATATTTGGACTAAATTTTAACGTCTGTCAACTTGTAAGGTGATTTCAGAAGTGGTGGGAGTTGTACTTATATATGATTTAAGGTGCTTAGTTAGTTCTTCTTCCTACCTGTGGTCATAATATAGCTAACCACAAGCTACTTTGGGGTTTTTTTTGTCTTCTGTTTTGTTGAGACAGAGTCTCACCTGTTACACTGGGTAGAGTGCAGTGGTGTCATTGTAGGTCACTGCAACCTCTAACTCCTGGGCACTAAGCGATCCTTCTGCCTTAGCCTCCTAAGTAGCTAGGACTACAGGCATGCGCCACAATGCCTGGCTGATTTTGGGTTTTTTTTGTCTTCTGTTTTGTTGAGACAGAGTCTCACCTGTTACACTGGGTAGAGTGAGTGCCGTGGCCATCAGCCTAGCTCACAGCAACTCAACTCCTGGGCTCAAGCGATCCTCCTGCCTCAGCCTCCGAGTAGCTGGGACTACAGGCATGCGCCACATGCCCGGTCTAATTTTTCTATATATATTAGTTGGCCAATTAATTTATCTTTCTATTTATAGTAGAGACGAGGTTCGCTCTTGCTCAGGCTGGTTTCGAACTCCTGACCTTGAGCAATCCGCCCGTCTCCGCCTCCCAGAGAGCTAGGATTACAGGCGTGAGCCACCGCGCCCGGCTTTTTTTTTTTTTTTTTCTTTTTGGTAGAGACGGGGTATCACTCTTGCTCAGGCTAGTCTTGAACTAGCCTGCTAGACTGCTCAAGCAGTCCTCCCGCCTCTGCCTCCCAGAGTGCTAAGATTATAGGTGTGAGCCACCGAGGCTGGCTGCCACTGGCTAGCTACTTTGAACTTAAAGGTAGTTTACGTGATTTTGGTAGCCAGTTGGTGTTTTAACAAGTTTTCTATAAATGACATTGGAAAGTTAAGTGAACTGTTTATTTTACTAGCATTTGGGTGAATGAATTTTATATTAGGATTGCATATATTGTATGTAGAAATAGAAAGAATGTTTATCAATTTTTAATGAAGTTAATCTAATATCACTTTGGTTTTTGAGTAGTAAGACAATCAATTGTCAAATCATGGACAAAGTTAATTTAGTTTGTATATACAGGCTGATTATCCCTTATCCTAAATGCTTGGAACCAGAAGTGTTTTGGACTTCAGATATTTTCAGATTTCGGACACTCAACCTATGTATCCTATTATCTTTGTATTTAAAAGAAACTTAGCCTATATTATTACTAAAGCTTTTTTTTTTTTTGAGATAGTCTTGCTCTGTCACGTGGACTAGAGTGCTATGCTGGCAGCCTAGCTCACAGCAACTTCTGACTCCTGAGTTCGAGCAATTTTCTTGCCTCAGCCTGCCAAGTAGCTGGGACTACAGGCATGCCCCACCATGCTAATTTTTTCTATTTTTAGTAGAATTTTTTCTATTTTTAGTCTCCCTCTTGCTCAGGCTGGTCTCCAATTCCTGAACTCAAACAAATCCTCCCACCTCGACCTCCCAGAGTTCTAGGATTATAGGCATGAGCCACCATGCCCAGCCATCACTAAAGCTTTTTAAGAAGATGACACATTATATGCTTTTTTAAGTCTGTCATGTTTTGTGTAAGATTCTAATGAGAGAGTGATGGTTTGCCAGTCTTGAGTCCTGAAAAGAGGCTCATGTTCTGGGTTTAAACAACAGAAAGTATAGAAGCCTGTTAGAGAGTTGATCTGATCTTTTGGATGTTTTAATGTTTTAAACATGCTTAAGAGGAGGATATTGTTCTAAAATCAAGGAATGAGGAGGAAAGAATATTAAAAGAGAGAAATTTAAGGAATGTGATTTTACCTCAGATTTACTAGCAGTAAGAGATATGGTTGTATAAATATATCTCACTTGGTTTAGCTACTTCCTGTCTTCAAATTTACATTACTATTACTTTTGTTCCTTGAGTTTTCATTAAAGGAATAAGTAGTTATCACATTTTTAAAGTGTGTAGAGCCATGTTTTACAATATGGTAGCCAAATGCTTTTGGTACCGTGTTTCCCCCGAAAATAAGACCTACCCATAAAATAAGCCCTAGCAGGATTTCTATGCATTTGTACAATATAAGCCCTACCCTGAAAATAAGACCTAGTGATGGGTGTGGCTACACAGCGTATCTGCACAACCCATGCATTTCATCGTGGAGTGGTAAAGAAGACGAGCAGCCCTTCTCATATGCCCCATTGTGACAGCTACTAACCCGGAGGTGACCAGAAAGGTGCGGGCAGCCCCACCAACAAGGTTAACTCCACCTGTCAGGTCCCAGCCATCCTACACGTGCTGGAAGCTGAGGCTTTGAGGGGAAAATAACACATCCCCTGAAAATAAGCCCTAGGGTGTCTTTTTGAGGAAAAATAAATATAAGACCCTATGTTATTTTCGAGGAAACGTGGTATTAATGGTGCTTTGGTAATTTCATGATAATGTAACTCTTAAACTGATATGAAATCTATCTGAAGAAACATAGGACGAAAGAAATTATGCTTTGAACTATCCAAATTTTAAAAATAATAAATAGTTTTGTGGTAGATTTTATTTTGTGGATACTTTGTGATTTCTGAGTACAATAGTAAGGTTTGGCCAGGTGTGGTGGCTCACACCTGTAATCCTAGCACTCTGGGTGGCCGAGACGGAGGGTCGCTCAAGGTCAGGAGTTAGAGACTAGCCTGAGCAAGATTGAGACCCCGTCTCTACTAAAAATAGAAAGAAATTAGCTGGACAACTTAAAAAAAATATGTATATGTATAAAATTAGCCGGAAATGGTGGCACATGCCTGTAGTCCCAGCTACTTGGGAGGCTGAGATAGAAGGATTGCATGAGCCCAGGAGTTTGAGGTTGCTGTGAGCTAGACTGATGCCATGTCACTCTATTCTGGGCAACAGAGCTAGACTCCGTCTCAAAAATAATAATAATAATAATAATAATAGGTTCATAACCTATGGGTAACTTGATATTAACTTTTTTTCCTTTCTTGTTTTCTACCATCAGGAGAAAGCAATTCAGCAATTTCTACAGAAGACCTAAAAGAGTGTCTGAAGAAACAGTTGGAATTTTGTTTCTCACGGTACATAGTCATATTTTTAAATTAATATTTCCTCTTTGTTGAGTTTGTTTAGTAGATGTAAAATACCTGTCAAATACAATGAAAGAATGATGGTTCTTTCTTTTTTTTAAAAAAAACAATATTAGCTGGGTGTGGTAGTGTGCGCCTGTAGTCCCAGCTAGCTACTTGGGAGGCTGAGTCCAGAGGATAGCTACAGCCCAGGAGTTTGAAGTTTCAGTGAGCTATAATGATGTCACTGCACTTTACCTGGGTGACGGAGTAAAACGCTGTCTGAAAAGGAAAAAAGCAGCATATAAGCTTTAGGTAGCATAATTTTTCCCTATATACAGAGTTTGAGCTTTTTTTTTGTTAGGCGGGTCGAGTGAAATGTTGATTGCTCCAATTCAGTCTGGAATCGAACTGGGTCAGGGCTGAGTAATCATTTTAATTAGACTCTGTCTATCTCTGGCTTATCTCTGTTCCTATACAGGGCCCTCTCAGACTTTTGATTTAGAGTTTGGCACCTGAATCCTGAAACACCAAAGAGGTTTACATCTGTTCTTCAGAGGTTTGAGACTAGTTCTTTAGCCTCTTAGCCCATACTGCTTCAAAATATGACTTTTCGGGAAGACTTGTGTTTGTTGCAGTATTTCTCCTTCTGTGACTTAATCACAAGACTACACAGATTTTACTCTGCCATTTCAGCCTGGCTCCCAATCTCCCTCCTTCCTCCTTAGAATTCAGGAAGTATGGTATGGGGAAAATCAGCCATATGTTGGGGGCACCTGCATGCCCAGCTTTTTTTTTTTATTTTTTATTTTTTTCATTTTTTTAAATAGAGATAGGGTATGGCTGTTTTGCTCAGGCTGGTCCTGAACTCCTGGGCTCACGTGATCCTCCCAGCTCAGCTTCCCAAAGTGCTAGGATTACAGGCATGAGTGACCATGCCTGGCCTCTTGCTTGTTTTTTTAATGTATTTGAATCTTTTGTTTTAATTTTAAGTATATGTTTTAAATTACAGAAGTCAAACATGCTTATAAAAATGCAAACATTTATAAATTGAAAATCCTTCATGAGCCAATTTACAGATAAGTTACAGTTTTGGTAATTTGTATATTTTAACATTAGGAATCAAGTGTTTATAAAATAGAGCTACACTATATGTAGTATTTTGGTAACATACTATTCAATATTAAGCGTCTTTCCATATCAGTATAATTTCATAAAATCTCTTATCCAGAACTTCTGGACCAGTTGTATTTGGGGATTTAGAAACTGTAAAAGTTGATACTATCTAATCTATATATACTATGTTGGTATCTTTTAAATTAAATCTTTAACCTAATATTTCAAAGTTCACTGTGTTATTTCTGATAGCACAATATTGTTTTCCTAGACGTAGTGACAAACATGAATAAGGTAGATCTTTTTAGGTGCTTTTTAAGAATTGCTTGTTTTATAGGACTATTTATTGCTTTCTTTGTCACTTTCAGAGAAAATTTGTCAAAGGATCTTTACTTGATATCTCAAATGGATAGTGATCAGTTCGTCCCAATTTGGACAGTTGCCAACATGGAAGAAATAAAAAAGCTGACCACAGACCCTGATCTAATTCTTGAAGTGTTGCGATGTATGTAAAAAGACCTTTTAGCTTGTTTTTAAATTTTTAAAAATATTGTTTTCATTTCTGATTATACAGGAAATTGTTTTTAATTGTCCTCTCCACACCTGCTTTTTTGCTGTTTTGTTCCAGTAAGTTATTTTTACTGATTTTGCATGTGTGTGTATGTATACAGTTTCTATGTCAATTCCACACCTTGATGCCCACATAGCAAGTATAAGCAATTAAATGTCATTTTTCTGGGCTATTATATTAGAAAGCTGTATATCTTTATCAAACCCTTTAAAGCAATCTATTTCAAACTTTTGAACCCAATTAAGAAGTACATTTTACATCACAGCACAATGCACATAGTATACCTATATACAACTGAAATGTCTGTTATATAGTTAACACTAAATATTTGTAATGAACTTGTTTCTTTTGTTCTCAACTGATTTTATAACCTGAGGTTTGACAAACACTGCTCTAAAGTCTCGTAAAGAATTTATATTTCTTTTTTTTTAAATTTATTTTTAAAATATGTTTTTCTTTTTTTTTCACACTGGAGTAAACCATGCAACTGTAAGGAATTTATATTTCTTTATTGAGATGCTAAGAATTTTTAGTATAGTTTGTGTCTTGTATCAGAATTTCTTATGGACTTCTCTGAAGTGTTTTTTTTTTTTTAAACTACTTAACTGAATAAAGGCAGATCTTCACTTTTATATGAAACATGTTGATAATGTTTAAAAGTTAAGTATAGCAAGTCTAGTAATATGGAAATAGAGGATTTCCATTCCTAGAAAATTACTAACATTTAATTTCTAATTGGTTTGTACAGACATCATTTCTTAAAATGACACAGTCTTGTCTACTTAAAAAATTAGCAGATATAGATAGAGTTCCCTACTTGGAACCTAACACTTATACCCAAACCTTCACCCTTATCTGCTTCTTTTATTCTCTCTGTTTACCTTCCCAGAGAGGTGTGGCATATTACCTCCCTGAAGGGACTAGAAATAAAAGTTTGGACTATGTGGTACTATCTTTATTCACTATTTCCTCAAAATCAGCATCTAAAAGATGGCTCCTGGGTCTCTATAGTAGTAAGATTAAATATGTTGAAATCAAGGACAGCTTATAATTTTTGTAGAGTTCTTGATTTAAGGTCTTCTTAGACTTCAGTTTGTTTTTTTTCTTTTTCTGAGACAGAGTCTCACTTTGTTACCGGTGCTAGAGTGCCGTGGTGTCAACCTTAGCTCACAGCAACCTCATACTCCTGGGCTTAAGCCATCCTTCTGCCTCAGCCTCCCTAGTAGCTGGGACTACAGGCATGCGCCACCATAGCCGACTACATTTTTTCTATATATTTGTAGTTGGCCAATTAATCTCTTTCTATTTTTAGTAGAGATGGGGTCTTGCTCTTGTTCAGGCTGGTTTCGAACTCCTGACCTTGAATGATCCTCCTGCCTTGGCCTCCCAGAGTGCTAGGATTATAGGTGTGAGTCACCACACCCAGCTTTAGACTTCAGTTTTAAGAAGAATTTCCTCACATATCAGAGTTCATTACATTCCCCAGAATAGTGTTTGGCTAATGCAAGTACCTTGCTTTCTGTTAACACCCATTTGTTACCTCTTGAGGAAGAATTTCCTGTATACAGGAAATTTGCCTGGTTATAGATGTGTTGTATGCTCTCTGAAGGCTTCTTTTCAATCTAAACACAATGTCAAAATCAAAAAGTGGATACCCTGAATAATTATTTAATGAATAACTTTTGTCAGTGTTCTTTATATGTAAATCTCAATTTTTTTGTCATAACTGTAACTTTGATTCTATAACTTAATTTCTTTAGGATATTAACTTAGCCTCTGCTAATTTATTCCGTTGAAAATTAAACAATTTTTAAATGTCATTATTAGTATCATGAATTGTCACTCTTGTGAGACTCTTTTTTTAAATTTCAGCCTCTCCCATGGTACAAGTTGATGAGAAGGGTGAGAAAGTGAGACCAAGTCATAAGCGTTGTATTGTGATTCTTAGAGAGATTCCTGAAACAACACCAATAGAGGTAAATGATAAATCATTGTTAAAGCTAAAGGTTCTTTAAATTGGAGGAGGTACACAAGCAAAGTATAAGGCAAGGCAGTGCCCTTATGAATCCCTGTGTCTAGGATAAATATTAATGTGTTTGTTAATTCTGAAGTAGTAGAATGATACAGAAGGAGGAAATGATACTATTGATTCTGAATTGAACGATCTGACTGAATGGCAATTAAAATATAAATACGCTATTTTGGGAACTTGAGGATTCATCTGTAAGAATGAATGAAAAAAAATTTTGAGTAAGGATTAATGAGGGAGGACTAACTCTATTGGTTAGCAAAATATAAAGCAAATTTGTGCTTGTAAAGGTGGTATGGGACAGGTATAAGAATTAATACACTGAATGGAACAGTGTAGTCTATTTAATGATGAGGTTCTACCATGTATTGCATACTTTACAGTCATTTAAAATCAAAGGTTTTATGTTTTATAGATGAAGTAACTGAGTCTTAGAAAGATTAGGTAACTTGCCCAAGGGTACTTGGGCTGTTAAATGAGAGTCTGGATTTGAACTTGATCTCTCTGATTCCAGCGCCCATGTTTCTTAACCACTGTGCCACAGAACTTCATGCTAAGTTGCCATGTTAAGACAATATAAATTTAAAAAGGCTAGAGACTGGTCATGGTGGCTTATGCCTGTGATCCTTACACTTTGGGAGGCTGAGGCTGGAAGATCACTTGAGCGCAGGAGTTCAAGACCAGCCTGTACAATATATTGAGACCCTGTTTCTATAAAAAGTAGAAAAATTAGTCAAATGTAGTGGTGGTGGTGTGCACCTGTAGTCCCAGCTACCAGGGAGGCTGAGGCAGGAGGATAGTTTCAGCTCAGAATTTAAGGTTGCAGTGAGCTATGATGATGCCACTGCACTCTAGCTCAGGCAACAACAGAGCAAAACCCTGTCTCAAAAATGAAACAGTAAAACAAATTAAAGAAGGCAAGCATTAGCCAGTAACTGAATTATTATAATTGATTAGCCATTTAGAAAAGAATTTTTAAACCTTTGCTACATAAAAATAATTGATCCCTTAGTAGTTAAGTCTATGTGCCCCAAATCATTCAGCATTAAGTCTCTAGAATGAATATTTTCTAAACTTCAGAGCAGTGAGAGAAGTTAGAAAACAAATTATCATAAATCTTTGATTTTGAACTACATGTCAGTAGTAATATCTTGAAAGAAAAATTGCAGAACGGAAAGAATATCTATATTGAGAAACAGTGTTAAGGATATGAACCTAAACTCTAGAGCCAGAGTGTCTGGGTTAGAATTCTAGCTTTTTAACTTACTAACTTTATGACCTTCCTTCTTAACTTCTCTTGCCTCAGTTTTCCTGTCTGTTGAATGGGATAGTGGTAATGAGTAAGTCATAAGAATGCTGTGAGAATTATGTGAGTTAATATATAAAGAGCTTAAGGCAGTACCTGGCACATAAAACACTAATGCTAGCCATTATTATCATTTGTATGTTTAATGTAATTCATATCTGAATACATAGAGAGTGATCAAGGCAGCAACATAAAGTTCATTTTTGGAAAAGTAAAGGAAGTGCTGATAACTAAAATAGCTAGAGAAAGTTAGCATAGGCAATAATCATTGAAATTCATATTAAAATGAGGGGTGAGGTGTTAGAGTGATGGCCTTTAAGATTTCTGTCAGGTGGAATGAAACTTTTGTTACTTAAATCCAAACTGGTAAATCTGTGAACTTAACTGATCCCATAGAATGATAAAGGCTGAAAATAGGGATTTTATTAAGAATTAGTGAATTCATTATATATTTTAATGGAATTAAAAATATTTGGAGAATATATATGCATTTTTGAAAGCAGAGATCAGTCAGTGACAGCCTAATAATAGTTCTCCAAAAATCTAATTCTGAACTAGATAGTAATTTTTTTAACTGAACTTGGTGATACTTTACCACTTTCACAAAAGTCATACTGTAGCTGGTTTCTCACTTATTTATTTCAAGCAGTATTTGGGCCAATATCATTTCATTGCAAGTATGAACATTCTGTTTTTAAAGTTCAGTATTTGGAGGGAATTAGAATACGGGCTAGTCTTCACTGTGATGTTGATTTTCCAATCAGCTTTGTATTTGTCTTTTTTTAAATTGATACCTAATGATGTTTGGTTATTTTGTGGCACAGTTCAATCTCTTAAGATTCTTTAAATATTTGGGAAATGCTGGTTATTAAATTTCTTCTGAGTTTAGGTAATTATCCTTTTTTGAATCCATGTATCTGTGTTCCTGTTTACATTTATATCAATTATGGAAAAGAGGATATATTTACATAGAATTCATGTCTGTGATTCTAATCCAGAACATCTGGATTAAATGAGAATGCATGAAAATTCTTACTGCCTAGAAAATGTTAATAAAGGATATAACCATAACTTTTTTTTAATGGTGGGCCAGGCAGGAAAAGGGCTGGGGATATTTTACTGTGACCCGAAGTGAAATGTATCTGTTTTGCTGATCATAGAATAAATCATATACAAAATATGTACTATAATTATGTTTTTGTTTCCTAACATAATCTCTCCTCACTAGAAAAATGCCCAAACACGGCGGGGCACAGTGGCTCACGCCTATAATCCTAGCACTCTGGGAGTTGGAGGTGGGAGGATTGCTCAAGGTCAGGGGTTCAAAACCAGCCTGAGCAAGAACAAGACCCCGTCTCTACTAAAAATAGAAATAAATTAGTTGAGCAACTAAAAATATATAGAAAAAATTAGCCAGGCGTGGTGGTGCATGCCTGTAGTCCCAGCTACTCGGGAAGCTGAGGCAGGAGGATTGCTTGAGCCCCGGAGTTTGAGGTTGCTGTGAACTAGGCTGATGCCACAGCACACACTCTAGCCAGGGCAGCATAGTGAGACTCTGTCTCAAAAAAAAAAAATAGAAAGAAAGAAAAATAGTCAAACAGTGTAAACAATTAATAAATGAAGTGATAAAAAGGACCAAAAAACATGAAGAGAGATGCTCAACCTTACTAGTAAACAAAAGTCAATGCTAATTATGTATTATTTAGAGTTAATACAGTTTTTCTCTTTTAGGAAGTGAAAGCTTTGTTCAAAAATGAAAACTGCCCCAAAGTGATAAGCTGTGAGTTTGCACACAATAGCAACTGGTATATCACTTTCCAGTCGGACACAGATGCACAGCAGGTGAGAAGAATACTTCTGATATAAGTCCTGTTGGTAAAATAAATAGTGGTATATTTAAATTGAGAAAACGTGTGTTTACACTAATGTTTAATATGACTAGTGAGCACCATGGCCACATTTTTGCTTTTGCTCAGTTGGTTTCTTTTTTGATCATCTTCCTAAAACTTTTCAGTTTCAATTTAAGAACAGTTTGTTTCCTTTCAGTAAGAAATTGATATGCAATTTAAAATTAACCTAGGGATTGCGAACCATGTACTCAATAGTTTAGTGTTTTTGGTACACAGTAGGTCCATAGTAAACAAAAATTCTTGGAATTTTTACTTAATGGATTTACTTTTCCTTGTTATATCCTAAAGAGAAATAATATTTATATATATTATCATAGGAACATTTTAAAATAACTTACTAATTTTTATTCTTTTTTAAATAATTCTTTATCTTAGAAGGTTGCCTGATTGAATCATTTAAAAATTGCTACCTAGTGATATTTTGGCTTTGTTTTGAAAGTTATACATCTTGTCTGCAGTAATCCCTAATAGGTCTTCTATAATAAATGTGAACTGTAGATGGGAAGGTCCTAAATTTTTACTTTTTCATTCCTTGTAAACTGCACAGTAGAATCACTTTCAGAATTTTTGCTTTAGTTTAGAAACCGTTGCTAATACCAAACCCTGTTAATTGAGTAAAGATGGCTTTAATGAAATGTTTGAGTGCTAATGAAAGTTCTTTTCTGCTTTATTAACAGGCTTTTAAATATTTAAGAGAAGAAGTTAAAACATTTCAGGGCAAGCCAATCATGGTAAGAAATAATTGTAAATAGAGAAAGGACATTGTGAAACCAGAAAGCTTTTTTTTTTTTTGGTTGTTTGAGAATTTAAAAAATATGGATAATGTTTTATGAAAACCCATGATGATTTTTTAAATTTTTATGATTTCTATTATGTGCTACTACAGAATATTAGTTGATAAGGCATTAAAATAATTTTTATACAGCAATTTTTTCCAAAGACAACTTCAAATAGTACAAAGTTTTAGTTTGATGCTGATTTTACAACATAAGATGATTTCAGATCTCCAAATGATCAATAGTATTAATTTTTAGTAACAGAGATCAAAAACATTCTCAGTACATTCAACCTCATCTCACTTAACTGCATTACCACATTAATAACCAACAATTTGGAGACCTAGGTATTGTCATTGATGCTCACTATCTTTTACGTCTCTAATCTGTTCTTGGGTCCTATGAAATTTGCCTTGAAAACTCCTTTCCATCACTGGTGTCACTGTTTAGGCTTGAACAGTTGGAGTAGCCTCTTAACTCCTATGTCGTCAGCTTTCCCCCCTACCCCACTTTAACAGTCCATTTTCCACATTGCTACCAGAGCTTCCATTCTAAAATATAATTCTAAATTTGCACTTATTTTGACATAGTTCTCTTTCTCTCTGTGATACAATTCTCATCATCATTTGTAAATATAATACACTGCTATTAGTAAGTCATCTCTGTTGAGCTCTTGTTGTGTATCTGTTTCTGTTTTAAGCATTTTACCTAATGAGATTTTCTCTTTTCTCCATTTTACTAGTGAGGATAATAAGGCATAAGAATAACCTACCCAGTTTCACACACTAGTAACTGAAAGAACCAGGATGAGAGTAACTTAAATTTAGTAAGAGATTGTATGTCAGGTACTTTTCTAAGACTGTGACATATTTAAATCTCATTATTACTGTGTAGTAGATGATATGAGTTTCTGTATTACAGATGAGGCTATTTGCTAGTTGTCATTCTACTTCCTCTGCCTGTGATGCTCTTTTCCCTATTCTCACCTTTCCCTGCTTTAAGGCAATAAAGATAGTCTCCTAAGTTTTCTAATAGGTTTAAAGTTTTAGAGTATTTCAGATTTAGATTTTAGATACATCTAGAATTAATTTGATGTATGGTATAAGACAGAGATCTAATTCCATTTTCCATATATAGAAAGACGGTAGTCTCAACACTTAATTTGTTGCCTGATCTATTCTTCCACAGTTTGTATATAATGTTTTATCTATGAGATCTGTTTCAGGTTATTTAATCTCTCTACTTCTCTGAACCAGTATCACTGTTTTGTTATTGTTTTTTTTTTTTCTTTTTTGAGACAGTCTCACTCTGTTCCTCTGGCTAGAGTGCCATGGCGTCAGCCTAGCTTACAGCAACCTCAAACTCCTGGGCTCAAGTGATCTTCCTGCCTCAGCCTCCCGAGTAGCTGGGACTACAGGCATGTGCCACCATGCCTGGCTAATTTTTTCTATATATTTTTAGTTGGTCAATTAACTTCTTTCTATTTTTAGTAGAGACGGAGTCTCACTCTTGTTCAGGCTGGTTTTGAACTCCTAACCTTGAGCGATCTCGCCTGGGCCTCCTAGAGTGCTAGGATTATTGGCGTGAGCCACCGGGCCCATCCTGTTCGTTTTGCTTTTAAAAATTGATTTTGATTTTGAGGCAGAGTCTTGGCTCTATCCTGGCTATCTTGTTGCCAGGATAGAGTTCAGTGGCCCGATCCCAGCTCAAACTCCTGGGCCCAAGCAATCTTCCTGCTCCAGCCTTCTTAGTAACTAGAACTACAGATGTCATCATGCCAGCCTAACTTCTATAGCCTAACTCTCTTCTTTTTGTAGAGACAGGGTCTCACTATATTGCTCAGACTGGTCTCTAACTCCTGGGCTCAAGTGATCCTCCTGCTTCAGCCTCTGAAAGTGCTAGGATTTATAGGCATGAGCCTCTGTGCCTGGTTAATTTTTAACATTTTATTTTAAATCTGTGTATGAGTTAAAAGTAAAATATCTAAAATATACAGGCCGGGCGTGGTGGCTCACGCCTGTAATCCTAGCACTCTGGGAGGCCAAGGCGGGCGGATTGCTCAAGGTCAGGAGTTCAAAACCAGAGTGAGCAAGAGTGAGACCCCCAACTAAAAATATATAGAAAAAAATTAGCTGGGCATGGTGGCACATGCCTGTAGTCCCAGCTACTTGGGAGGCTGAGGCAGAAGGATCGATTGAGCCTAGGAGTTTGAGGTTGCTGTGAGCTGGGCTGATGCCACGGCACTCTAGCCAGGGCAACAGAGTGAGACTCTGTCTCAAACAAAAAACAAAAAAATATCTAAAATATAGAATATTACACACTCATATATGTATATCATATCCTCATCTTACACTAACAATAGCTTGCTGTATATACTTTTCTGTTTTTTTGTCTTGCCTGTTTTTTTTGACAGTATATTCTGCAAATCACTCTAATAGTACTTAAAACACTTCTTTTATTTTTTTATATCCATATAGCACTCAAGTGTGTGGATGTACCATAGTGTATTCAACCACTGATGTACTGTTGAGGGGGTTCCTCCTTTTCAGTTAGTGAATAGCCATTTGCATATATCTTTTCTCAGCTTTATTAAGGTATAATTGACAAAAATTGCTTATATTTACAGTGCACAATTTTTTTTCAACATATGTATGCATCATGAAGTGATTAAATCAAATCAATTATCACATGTGCTTTTTTTTGTTAGTGAAAACATTTAAGATCTACACAGCAAGTATACAGTATTACCAATTTTAGTCACTCTGCTGTACAATAGATCCCCAGAATTTATTTCTCCCGTGTAACTAAAAGTTTGTACCATCTGACCAATATCTCCTCATTTCCTCTCTCCACTCATTTCCAGCCCCCAGCAACTATGAATACCATTCTACTCTCTCTTTCTATGAATTAACTATTTTTAGATTCCACATACAAGTGAGATCATGCAGTATGTGTCTTTATATGCCTGGCTTATTTCACTTAGTATAAAGTCCTCCAGGTTCATCATCCATGTTGCCACAATGAAAGGATTTTCTTTAAGGCTGAATAATATTCATGTGTGTGTGTGCACATGTGCATGCTACATTTTCTTTATCCATTCATTTGTTGATGGATACTTAGGTTGTTTCCATATCTTGGCTATTGTGAATAATGCTGCAGCGAACACAGTAGTACAGATATCTGTTGAACATCTGATTTTATTTCCTTTGCATGTATACCTAGTAGTGGGATTGCTGGATCATAATGGTAGCTCTATTAAATTTTTGAGGAAACTATGTACTGTTGTCTGTAATGACTGTATCAATTTACATTCCAACCAACATGTGCAAGTGTTCCATTTTCTCCACACCCTCTCTAATACTTATTGCTTGTCTTTTTGCTAATGGCCATTTTAACAGATGTGAGGTGATATCTTCAATTTGCATTTCTCTGATTAGTGATTTTGAGCATTTTTACAGTATACCTGATTTTTCTTTTTTTTTTTTGAGACAGAGTCACACTCTGTTCATGGGTGAGAGTGAGTGCCGTGATGTCAGCCTAGCTCACAGCAACCTCAAACTACTGGGCTCAAGCAATCCTCCTGCCTCAGCCTCCCGAGTAGCTGTAGGATTACAGGCTTGAGCCACCGTGCCCGGCCTATACCTGATTTTAATTGTGCTCCTCTTATGAGTAAAGTTTAGCATCTGTTTCATATGCTTTAGAGTCGTTTGCTTTTCTTTGTTCTATGAACTGTTAATTTTCCTAACTCATTTTTCTGTAGGATTTTTGAGCCTTTTCATGTCTAAATTTGTATATTATATTAGGGACATTAGCACCCTTGTCTGATGTGTTGCAGTTAGTTTTATTATTTTGGTTGGCTTGACATTGTTTATTGTTTTTGGAAGGCAAACATTTTCGTTATTAAAACTGTCATTTTCTTTTCATTCTACAATAGGCAGAAATAGTATAGTTGTGTAAAATATGATAAAATGTAAATTAAATAGATTTGTAAAATATACACTTAGTCCTTTGTTATTATGTGTTTCTTTTGCTTCTAGGCAAGGATAAAAGCCATCAATACATTTTTTGCTAAGAATGGTTATCGATTAATGGATTCTAGTATGTATAGTCAGCCCATTCATACACAAGCACAGTATGCCTCGCCAGTCTTTATGCAGCCTGTATATAATCCTCATCAACAGTACTCGGTCTATAGTATTGTGCCTCAGTCTTGGTCTCCAAATCCTGCACCTTACTTTGAAACACCACTGGTAAGTAAGATCCTTATAGAATAATAAAGTATGAAATAATAATTTTTTAATTCAAGCTGAAATTTTAAGAAATCAGCTGGAGTAGTTCATTTGTTTGGTGTTGATATTGGTTACATTTTGACTTTTAAATAGTAATATGGATATCTAATCCTGTATACCAAATATATGCATATGACTAAGGAGTTATTCCTATAATTTTATTCGATTAAATTTACTGAGTGAATTGAAAGAAGAGACTAGATAAGTCTTGTGTGGTTTCAGATGACTTTTAAAGTTGTGAAATATTGTCAGAAGAATGTTTTTCAATAAGTAATGAACTAGTAATTCATTGTTCCTAAATCTAGTGAATTTAGGTACTTGAAGTGAATATTTCAAAAGTGGATCATAAAAATATTTCGAATTATTTTTGGGTTATAAAAAATTGATAATAGGTTAGTTCATTCAGGTCCTTATGACCCTCACACCAGATTTTGCCTTTACCATTAATATTATTTAAATGTTAAAATTTTTTTGTAGGCTCCCTTTCCCAATGGTAGTTTTATGAATGGCTTTAATTCACCAGGATCTTATAAAACAAATGCTGCTGCTATGAATCTGGGTCGACCATTCCAAAAAAATCGGTAAGATAAAAATCATAGCTGGAATTTATTCTGACTAATTCCCAATGGTTGTTAAGGATTTAGTGTGTTATTTATTATCAGTGCTCGTTGGCAGTCTCAATAAAAGGTTTGGTTTGGTTTTTTTTTGTTTGTTTTTTTGAGACAGAGTCTTGCTTTGTTACCCAGGCTAGGGTGAGTACCGTGGCGTCAGTTTAGCTCACAGCAACCTCAAACTCCTGGGCTCAAGCGATCCTGCTGCTCAGCCTCCCGAGTAGCTGAGACTACAGGCATGCGCCACCATGCCCGGCTTAATTTTATATATAATATATATATAATATAATATTAGCCGGCCTGAGCAAGAGTGAGACCCCTCTCTACTATAAAAAAAAATTAATTGCCAACTAATATATCATATAATTATATTAGTTGGCCAATTAATTATTTTCTATATAGTAGAGAGGGGTCTCACTCTTGCTCAGGCTGGTTTCAAACTCCTGACCTGGAGCAACACACCCGCCTTGGCCTCCCAGAGTGCTAGGATTACAGGCGTGAGCAACCGCGCCCAGCCGGGTTTTTTTTTTTTTCAATAAAAAGAATGTCAACAATTCAGTAATTCAACCTAGAATTCGTAAATACACTTTGACCTCAGAGTTGATAATGGATGTAAAAAGCACATCAGACTGAGGTTGGTTTGTTTTTGTTTTTTGGTTTTTTAAAGAGATGAGATCTTGCTCTGTTACCACGGCTGGAGTGCAGTAGCATGTTCTCTAAGCTCAATGCAGCATCCAATTCCTGCTTCAAGTAATCATCCCCTCAGCCTCCCAAGTAGCTGGAACTACAAGCATGCACTACCACTCCTGGCTAATTTTTAAATTTTTAGAGATAGGGTCCTGATATGTTGCCCACCTGGTCTCAAACTCCTGGACTCAAGCAATCCTCCTGCCTCAGTGTCTGAAAGCTCTGGGATTACAGGCATGAGCCATCATACCTGACTTTGGATTTTTTTTTTTTTGAGACAGAGTCTCGCTTTGTTGCCCAGGCTAGAGTGAGTGCCGTGGCGTCAGCCTAGCTCACAGCAACCTCAAACTCTGGGCTCGAGCGATCTTCTGTCTCAGCCTCCCGAGTAGCTGGGACTACAGGCATGTGCCACCATGCCGGCTAATTTTTTTATATATATAATATCAGTTGGCCAATTAGTTTCTTTCTATTTATAGTAGAGACGGGTCTCACTCTTGCTCAGGCTGGTTTCAAACTCCTGACCTCGAGCAATCCGCCCGACTTGGCCTTCCAGAGAGCTAGGATTACAGGCGTGAGCCACCGCGCCCGGCCTGGATTATTTTTAATCGTAAATAAAACTAATATTTTATGGTAGCAGTCTTTGACATAAAATCTGATGTCTAATTGCCATTTAGTGTGTTAAATGGATAACTTTTTGAACAATGAGATTCTTTGGGGATAGAAATATTTTAACTGATTGAATTGGGATGTGTTATTTCGGATTTTAGAGAATTGACTTTTGGCAGGCAAGGCGGCTCACGCATATAATCCTAACACTCTGGGAGTCCAAGTTGATCGCCTGGCAGTCAGTATTCTTAGTAATGCTAGAGTTATCCTATAATTTTATCGATTAAATTTACTAGATGAATTCGAAAAGACTAAAATACAGTCTTGTGTGGTTTCAGATGACTTTTAAAGTTGTGAAATATTGTCAAGAGAATGTTTCAATAGTAATGACTAGTAATTCATTGTTCCTAAACTATGAATTTAGTACTGAAGTGAATATTTCAAAGTGGATCATAAAATATTTCGAATATTTTTGGGTTATAACAATTGATATAGGTTAGTTCATTCAGGTCCTTATGACCCTCACACCAGATTTGCCTTTACATTAATGATTATTTAAATGTTAAATTTTGTAGGCTCCTTTCCATGGTAGTTTTATGAATGGCTTTAATCACAGGATCTTATAAAACAAATGCTCTGCTATGATCTGGGTCGACCATTCTCAAAAAATCGGTAAGATAAAAATCATAGCTGGATTTTTCTGACTAATTCCAATGGTTGTTAAGGATTTAGTGTGTTATTTATTATCAGTGCTCGTTGGCAGTCTCAATAAAAGTTTGGTTTGGTTTTTTTTTGTTTGTTTTTTTTGAGACAGAGTCTTGCCGTTTGTTGTACCCAGGATAGGGTGAGTC